TTACTTTTGGAATAGGTACTTGCATGTATATATCTTCTTAAGTTTTAGGGCTTTGAAAGCTACTAGCTAACAGCTGCGCCATTAGAATCACACGGTGTATATCTAAACTTGCAAGTCTTCTAAAAATTTAACCCTAATTGTTGGTGAAGGAAATAATCTATATAAGACACCCCAACAATTAATCATATATTGAACTAGTGAAAATTTTAACAATTAATTAATTTGCACTACTAAAGTTGAGCCGGTGTAAAAATAAAATATTTATCCATATCACAAGATGGTGATAAAAATCAAAAAACTAAAAAGTGGAAGATTGATTAGTTAGAAGTAGCAAATAGCAAGTGAAGGAGTGGGAATAAAAGAAAAGAAAATGGAATGGGGAGTGGTCCATTGAGGGTTGAGTACAATTACAATGATTTGGATTGATCACTGATGTACAGTGCATGCGTCCAATGATCCAATTTACAGTTAATAAATGGAAGGGCACGCCATGGGAAGTAAAAGGTAATCGAAGCTAACTTTACGGTACAATCTACTTTATAGATAGATCGTAAATAAATACTATTAATAATGCAACCTAGCTCTTAATTAGCTATAGCCCCTCTACTCTAGCTTTTATAGGGTGGGGGCACCCTTCATTCAAAGGCCATCTCAGATCTCTGACTCTAATACCCTAATCTTTTTCACCATTACCTCTAATAGAAAAATATCACATTACTTAATTAAAGCAAGAATGCGACTTGTCGTTCCAATTTTTTTTTATATCATATCATCTCATTTTATCATCTCTCTACGTGTCTTATTATCACTTTCATTCTTTCAGAAATTCCCCCTTATCAATAATTATTTTTTAAATTTAACTTTCTTTTTCTTCTTCTATAACTTGTTTCTTCTCAGTCTATATTATATACTCGTTAACTTATATAAAAAAGGGTTAAATATGTTTATCGTGCTTATAAAAATATTTAAATTTTGCTTTTCATCCTCCATTTTAAAAAATCTTTACCTTTTATTTTTACATGTCTGAATATTAATTCTGACTTTGATCCCTAAACTTACTTAATGCATGCTCACAGTTAAATTTCCCAAATCAGTGATGCCCTATAAATTTGTTGTTTTTTCTGGAGAACTGATAAATTGGTCAACATAGCTTGACAAAATTAACTTCTCAGAAATATAGAGATGATATAATTTTGTAAGAACAAAAAGAACATTAACTTAAATCCATTTTAAAAATTATAGAATGATTCATATATTATTTATAAATTTAAAAGTATGTAAACAACATACGATTATTGCCTTTATGTAAATGAATTAGAGACAGAAAATATTCGTTTCAATTATAAATGGAGTGAACCTTTTATTATTTTAGAAGTTGTAGATAGAAATATAATAGATAGAAACAAAACTGTTTCTTCTCTAATTAGAATCTGGTTAAGAATTCCATCTTATTACTCATTTTGTTTGTGATATCACTTTTAGTGATGAATATGTTTTATCTTTAACGTTATCTCATTAGTTCATAATAAAGCACCTTTTACTATTTTATTTTTGACCTTTTTGAGGACTTGATTGGTTTTGGCTATTTGAATGGATGTTGACTTTGTAATATATATATATA